GCAAGAAGAGTTTTCGTACGGCCTAGTCAGATTTTTGACGCCAGATAAATTCACGGTCAGCCAGTATCTGTTTAACATTTGCAGTCTTCTTTTTTGTCCAATACTTTCCCAGTCACAGGCATTTCCATATGACATGCATTATTATACTTTTGTGCACCCTGCAACAATTTGTAGAAAAGACAGCAATAGTCTTCTTTATGGCTTAGATTTGGGCCTTTGTTTGAAATTCGGTTGAGTTCCTTACTCAGATGTGCACAGTCACTTTTTGAAAATGGCCTAGTGACGGGACAGCCCACAGTTGGAGTCAGTGTGTACATTCTCGAGCAAGATCGAAGCTCTCCTGACATTGAATACAATGGGAACGAGTGGATAGAAAATTGGCTCGCTAGAGGAAGACTGTGGTTCGATCGATAAACTCATTTTACATTTCCACCGTCTTCCTATCATATCTGATTAGCACAGGTAAAGTATGCAAAATGCTAACATGAAAGCTGTTCATAATTTAACTATATTTTTTGATAAGATTCTAAAATGATCGATTTAGATGCGCTGGCTTTTTTAATAGGTGAAAGTTCGTTTTTTGGTTTTCACAGCAGATCTTTTACGAGCTGCGTAATCTGAAGAAAGGATCATAAATTTATCGCTCGATGTGTGTTGCATGTATAGAAAATGGTGCGCCTTTCCCTGTACGATCAACGATAATCAAATGCCTTGATGATTTTATCTTAAAAAAAAAAATTCTTCTATTTCTAATAGAAAGGCTGACCTCGATCATGATTGCTAAGCATTTGAGAAAAATTGGCTACGTACAGTAGATTATGCCGTGCGTCCGGAATGCCAAGATCCTCATTCTTTAAATTCGTCTGTACCGCATTTCCTGTACGATGAATTTCGTCCGATTTACCCTCGTCACCGCCGCGGTCGTCGATCTGCTCGCATGTACTTACATTCGCACGGCTTATAATGAGACTCAACAAGGAATTCGAAATTTGAATGCTGTTCCTATGGACGTGAATGAAAGCGCTATCACTCGAGTAAGTAACGGTCGCAGAATAAATGACGCGCGCGACGATGCAGCTAGCCGGGGTCCTTAACCGCGATTCTGATCAGAAAGAGGTGACTATGCTGTTTTT